GGGGTAGAGCCAGATTGAAGTAAGACTGGTAGTGAAAAGCTGTCAGTGGCTCTGAAAATAATTATCTTTCCTTTCACTCACCAGTTAGATATGTGCTCCCAAACCACATAATCTCTATGCCTCAGTGATCATTGTTGCCATTCCAGCCTCTCATCAGCGTGACATCTCACACCAAAATGATTTCTTATAAATTAATCTTGATAACATGACAGTCCCAGTAATTTCACCAGAACGCTTTTTCTCTCTTATTTTTTTTTTTTTTGCTTCTTCCTTCTGCAGATTCTGTTGGCTATTTTCTGCGTTGCTTGATTGGCAGCATGAGTGACTCAGAGGTACAAGCCAAAGAAGAATGCCTGAAACAATACTTCCATCAGCTTGAGGAGATGGTACCATTTTCAGTTTTTTCCCCCCCTCCCTACATAATGTCTGTCCTGCCTGACATGTATCTATTAGATTTTTAAATTGCTGCTTTTAAGTCGAGCCCGACCACTTCTCAATGTCATGGCGGGAGCTGGAGACTTAAATTATGTTGAAGATAATTTCTGTTAGACAGATTTCATTTAGTCTGTTTTAAAACTAATACATATCTCTTTTTTTTTCTCTCTCTCTCCACCGTCTCTTTATGGACAGGGAGTTACTATTGATGCGCAAAATGCTAACAAAATTATTAAGTTGTTGGAAACCTATAATGTTCCTCAGTTGGTTCAGGTATGTGTTTTTGTTTTGTGTGTGTGTTTTCATATAAAAATATCAAAATCTTAGGGCAAATTAATAAGCCGTGAATGTGACTTACACCAAACAGTTGCCACAGGTGACTCTGTAATGTAAACCACTTGCAGCAAGAACCTGCTCTGAATGTTTGGTGAAAGCCATTTTCAATGATTTATAAATATGCCCTTTGTGGTGGTTGTGTATTTTAAAGTGTCTGTCATGAAGCACAATACCTGTGTTTCTTTCTCTTGGTCTGCATTCTATTTTCAGGGTAATGACAGCGGATATACAACTTAACCAAAAGCTGAGGGAGATGACCGAGAAATAGCTATGCTTTCCCAAATTACTAAAAGGATGTGCATGGTGGTTCTTTCTGGGCTGGAGATGGGGAGTAAGTCCATTTGGGAAAGTGATGTAGATTTTGGATCCCCCTGACATCATTTAATGAAAGTTCCTGCATGGCAGTTTTTCACCCCTAAGATGGAATGCTGTCAGGTGTATTCACAAAGCAAATATGCACAGCACAGTGAGCATTATGGCTGGTGTGACCTTGACAGCCTGTGGGCTGCCTCTGCAGTACTCTTATACTCTATAAAATTTAACTAGCCTGTGACATCAACCATATTATGACTGAGCCAAAGTTTCTTGACATAAAACTGTGCCCAGTCTATGGTCATGCAAATATTTACATATTCCATATAAGCAGTGAATGAACCTCAGTGGCTGCTGTAGCTGCAGGCATTGTGGAGCATCTCATCCTCAAATTTTCCAACAAAAACTCTTCCCTCCCTTTTTTTTTTTTTTTTCTTCAATAGTTGTCCCCCTTCTAAGCTGTGATTTGGCAGTTTGCCAGCTTTCTAATCTCCAAAACCAGAGTAAGAGCTCTGGACAAGGGGCACAGTGCTGAGGCCCAACTTTAAGGACTTTACTGTTTGTCTGGTAGGTGGGATAAATTGCTTCCCAGTGCCTGAGGTAGCCAGTATAAATCTACCTTAAGGTGTGGTTCACACTATAGCATTGCTCTAAAGGCACGGTATCCATGCCTTTAGCACAATGCTAGGTGCACTGGTGTGTTGCGTTGACATTAATTACAGTCCCTTCAGCACAAATCCATAATGTGAAGTGGACCTATTGTTTAAACCGAATTAACAGCACTAGTAGGTGAATCAAATAACCATATAATCGTGTTTGTGGACTATAAGTCATAAAAAGACCACATGAATGCAAGTACCGTTAATCAATGAAAAACACGGCACTGTACTAGTAAATGAACATGTGTACGGTAAGGAGGTGTCTTTTCACCAAGTGTTTCTAGGTGTCTCAGTGTGTAAAAATAAAGTGAATAAATCTACACAAATTGAAAAAGTCCTTCGCTTTTTTACACCTTAATGTGCATTGATAACATTAAGTGACAAATCATATACGTGAAAAAATTCTGGTGGGTAAACAGAAGTATAAACGAAAATAATTGTAACTGACAATTAATAGTGCTGACAAAAAATGTATATACACAGATAAAGTCTCTGTAATAGACAGCTCCTCCTATTGCCTATTAACTGCTTGTTGACAATAAAATATTAGAATGTCAATAGCCATCCAGAGTTCTACTTTAGGGTCCAGCAGTGTTTTACATGACGTCTCTTTGGTAGAACGGATAGAGGTGTGCTTGCTCCCCATATTCTGCTTTCCACATTCCACTGTGCATGCAGCTGGCATCCTACTTTTCTCTTGCTGGATGGGATTGCTTTTTTCCAACTTGGTCCTGATGAGAGTATAATGACTGTAGAGGGGAAACACTTATTGGTGTGAAAAACCCGTACTCCTCCAAGCCTATGGTAATGGAGCTGCACTGTAGGCTCATAGTAAAAACTTTTGAGGAGGTAGTGGTGGAGTATTGTTTCCCACTACTGCTTTAAGTATACTGCAAGTGTTAAGTATACTGCAAGTGTACTATAAACAGTAGTAGGGGGTGGGACAGCATAACCCAAAGAATTCATTAAGAAAATAAACACTGAAATAAAAGGAGATGTATATATGTGTATGTATATATGTGTATGTATATATGTGTATGTATATATATATATGTGTATGTATATATGTGTATATATATTTACATTACATTGCACGTACACTGTGTGTGCGTGTATATGTGTGTATCCATCTTTAACCCTATGTTTGATGATTTTGTTGTCACTTATTTTATTGCATAATGTTTGGGGTTTTTTTTGTTTTTTTTCAGGGTGTTAATGACTTGACTGATACGGTAGGTACTGTTCACCACATTTGCAGTCACTCTGTTATTTCCTGTTTAAAGCAACTGAGGCTTTATAGAAAAGTGTAAAAGAAAAAAAAAACCAAAACATTTAATACTTCTACTGATGCCTGCACCCCAACTCCGCTGTCTTTCAGAGATGACCTTTATAAGTGTGTTGGATTTCTGATACACTCCTGCGAGTGGTGCCTCTTTCCTGTAGGCCCCCACATCACTACTGTGTCCTGTATTGATGTAGGGGTTGGTGGATGAAACCATAGCATGCAGAGGGGCAAGAAAGCATTTAGCACTCCCAGTAATGGGGGACCCAGAAGTTTTTTTCAGACAGTTTATCTCTTGAAGAGTAGTGTTTGGCACAACAGGAGGGCAATGTATTAATGCTCTTCTATGAAGAACAAGCTTCTTTTTACTTTTCTTAAATAGTGACTTTTGCTTTAAAGTTTGTCAATCTGATTGTACAGCATCTTTGCCAACTGTGGGTGGTATAATGGTAGGTTTAGCTTAAAGTGTATTTCCACTTTTGCAGCCAGATTGGGATAACTAGTTTATATTTGTTACATGTTCCCAATCACGTAGCATAACTTAAAAATTGCAGATTACCTTTTTTTTAGATGTTTTTTCTGTTAATTTCTAGACTGAAAAATCCTGCATAGTTCTCGCTGTCCGGGCTTTTGGGCAGTTTTGTTTCAAATAATTAACCCTGTCTACTGTACTGTGCTTCCTTATCACTTGTAAATTAGATGAGCAGGCCTTAAAGGGTTAAAGCCCTGAAAACATTGTATGTTAATGAACAGAAGTTTAGTCTGTCCTAAGTTTTATTATTAGGACAGTCAGAGTTTGCTGTTACTGAAATTGAGAGAGCAGCATGCAAAGGCTTGCTATATGGAGATATCTAACAAGCCAACATTTTTAAAAAAATATTTTAGGTATGCTGTGTGAATAGAAAGACATAACAAACATATAGGGGAGGTTTTCCCAATTTTGACGGCAGAAGTACATTTTAAGCATTACAGTCAGGGTTATTGAACGCCCAGCGAATGGGAAGCAGTTAATAGAATCCTCACTTTCACCTTTTTTTCACATTTGCATGCAATCCAGGTATGGCTGCATGGTGTATCTTGTGCTTCCTAATGGTGACTGCAATGGACATGTAATGTGCATTGAAACAGTCCCTTGTAGTATCCGTTAGAAAGGGATCCACACAGGAGCACAACTGGGAGACCCCAAGCAGGACCACTAGGTATTAGTGTAATTAATTTTGAAATGACTTTCATATATTAATACTTACATGAGATTTTATTGGTTAGATTTGCATTTACTGTAAAGCAGAGTTTCTGATTAAAAGGACACATTCTTTAACCTTAGCTGCACAGCCCATGTACAAAGTTGCGGTGTCCTTCTTGCTTAATGTCTTCACCTTGTGTTAGGAAGGTTCTGAATGCTTAGCTGTGTGAAGTTAAACTTTTTTTTTTTTCTTCTTAAAGGCTGGGAGCGTCTACAAAATGGAAGAGCAAATAGAAACAAATATAAAGCATATTCAATCTTCTAAGCTGAAGTTTAAGGATCTACTTGATAAACTAGTTGCAGCACAGGTAATGCATCACGTTCACACGTTTGGCAAAATTCCATACATTCGGAGGATTTAAAATGGACAATCTATACAAGTTTTGTTGGTGTTATCATACTCCTTGTGCTAGATTCCATTTATTAGTATTTTGGCAGTCTCCTTGCACTTGGATCAAAGCAGACAGACATCGCAGCCATATTTCAGAGTGACGAGAGGTGGATTCTTCTCTTGTCTTCTAAACACATTTGACTTTGTGGGTTCCTGAGTCCACTCATATGTAGAAGACCTTAAACTAAATGCCAAGTTATTTTAAGATTTAGCAAGTGTGATTGAAGAAAAAGATGTACAAAATCAGGCAAAAAAAGTTTTGTTTACATTTTCGGTATAATAAAAGCTGTGCCTGTATTTTAGAGACCATGTGACTGTGAACCTTTTTCTGTAAGTGCAGAACCGTAATTTTGGTTGTAAAGCCATTGCTGCTGATGACACTTGGAGCACCATCTTTTCTGTGCAGTGGTGGTGGAATCATGCTAATGTGAGGATGCTTTTTTTGGTAGGCACAGGGAAACTGGTCAACATTACAAGGCCAATGTGGATAAAGCCAAATACAGGGCAGTTCTAGAGGAAGACTTGGTTCAGCCTTTATGAAAGATAAAAAAAAGGTCACCTTCTTACAGGACAGTGAAAGATAAAGATACAGCCAGAGCTTCAGTGGAATGGTTGATAATCATAAACCTCAACAACATAGAATGACTCAGTGAAAGCCCACACCTCAGGCCTCGCTCACACCAGACACAGTGCATTCAGGCCCGATTCTGGCCAGTATGCACTGCATCGCATTGTGGCCGCCTCACTGTGTTGTGCGGCAGGAGGGAGCGTGGCGGTCCATTTGAAGTGAATGGCACCGTAGCCAAGCCCTCTGGCCGCAATGCGATCGGCTGCACAGTAACGCAAGGCACATTGTGGGCATTGTCTGGTTTGAACAAAATAGTGCGTGCAGCATTTTGTTCGGACCGGACCACAGGCATAATGTGCCTTGCGTTTCTGTGCGGCCAATCGCATTGCCGCTGGAAGACGTGGCTATGGTGCCATTCACTTCAATGCACCACCACGCCCGCCCGGCTTGCAATCCAGTGCGTTCCAGAGGCCGAACTCACTGGAACGTGACTTAATGGTATGAACCTGCCCTTAATCCAAAAAATTGTTGTCGGCCTATAGTGTTACTCCAAAAAGACTTGCTGTAAATGTAGCCAAAGTTTGTTCTACCAAATAATTGACTTCTGGGAGAATACTTGTGCAACCATGCCATTAGCAAATCTTCATATTAGTACTTTACAGATACTAAATGATATTACTTCAGTACAAAATATATGTTTGTTAAAAAAGTGTGTGGCTCATCTTCGTCCCTTCTCATTTCAGACCCTTCCCTTTTCCATATTGCAAATTTTGCAATCACATCTGTCCATCTATATGGTCAACCTTTGTGATATTGCAGTAAGAGTCAACAATAAAGAGACCATTTCAACAAAAATCTCATTAGTTTTTATAGTCTATTTTAATGTGATTTATGCATGTAATTTACCTATAAAAGCCTCTCATGTAGGGAGGTGAAGCGAGGGGCAGAGATGCTGGGCCAGCATAGAGTGTAATTAGACACTATGAGAGGAGGAAAGGGCCATGGCTTTCATGGAGCAGCACCCAGCAGCAGTCTCATGGTTTTTTAAATGTTGATTTTTTTAATTGATGGCCTGGAAAGAGGATCTTTTAAAATTTTGGTAAATGTTTCCTGCTAACTGTTTTAACTACATTGTGTCCTGTTGAGGAGACCACTCACCTCTGCCAACTATCTGTGTACTGAATGACTGGTCTCCTCTACACCAGTTAGGATGCTATTTCGCTATGCTGGGAAGTGCGGCTGCTCTGGGAGCTTTGGCGGCAGTAGCCTGGGACAGTTGTTGTGCACTATGGTGGCCACAGCTTCATGTGGCTATTCTGTCTATGGTGTCCATCTTTTTCAGCTGGTGCAGGTAAATTAGATCATGATCTGATTCCCTGTGTGAGGATGCAGAGGCTGGTGATGGCTGTGGGCTGCTGGTGTACACAGTGACACAATGATGTTGGCATTCCCCTTCTGCTGGCTGTTTCCCGTAGGTCCCTGCAATGCAATAAGTCCTGTCCAGGGGCAGATCTACCTTTTGTGGCAGCACCTGTCTCCTTTTCCCTCTGGGCAACTTGGCGATTCCACATGAGAGTTATGGGCCTGATTTAAAGTTCCTTCTAGGCAGTTTTATTTGCTTGGTTCTGCTCTGGACCCCCTACAACTCATTCTATCGTTGTGGGATGCATCTATTGGTCTTTTGACTCCACCATCCATCTCTGGTGGACTTGGTTGCTAGAGGTATCTCACCTTCAGATGATGTTCGGGAGCTCTGCCTGGTCCTTCTCTTCATGGATGGAGGTCTTCCGGTCTATTGAGAGTATTTGTTCCCGGGGACATGGCCACTTCACAGCTTCAGGCACACCCTCTTTTGTTTACTGATACTGAGTTTGTCTGGCATCAGTAGTTGGTGCTATGGTGACTCCAAAGGATCAGTATAGCCATATCTATGTTTCCTCTTCTGAATCACCTTACTTGTCTACTCCGCGGGATCAGTATGGAGGGTATTCCAGTGTTTCTCATAGCTCTAATATGGACCCAGAATGTTATGGTATACCTACTTGACCATACTTTTGGCAATCACAGGCTGCCCTGATTGACTGAATTTGTTATCTTAGGGACTGGTTTCCCTCGTTTTATGGTCATTGGGTGTGAGGGCATGACTGTTGCCACACAGATCTTGTGGAACAAGGGCCTTTTGTGTTTGGTAACGTCCATTGTGTTCAAGTTAGGAGTTTTAGTACCCATAGGTCTGCCATCTCTCTTGGGTGGCATCTCTTCCCTGCTGCGAGGTGAGAGGTTTTCACCCCTGGACAGATTTGATTAATCTTGTCTTTTTTTAAACGTCACTGGATCTGTTTTTGCCATGCAATCCCTCATGGGACAATTTTTAACCTTGTGACCTCAATCCTTCCATTCGTTGAATAACACTTTGTACAGGGTGTATGTAGTTGCTTTTTCACTGGTGACACCATGGGATCTAAATGTGACACTGTCGTCGCTTAGGAATTATCCTTTTAGGGATTTTTCCCTTTCCTCTATTGCTCACAAGGTTGGCTCCATTCTTGTATTCACCTTAGTGAGGTGTGGGTATGTGCTTGCATTCTCATCCTGTAGAGGACACTTCTGGTCTTGAACGTGGATAGGTGGTGTGGAGGTCTAGTGCCTCCTCTCTTCCGTAGGTTGTTTTGACCTGTAATCCGAGATCTTCCTTCATTGTTTGGTCATGGTTTATGCTCTGCATGTCTGTCATAGATACTGCTTCCCTTAAAAGCCTGGCCTCATCTTTGTCATCCCTGCTGGTTTTTGGAGAGGAGAATCAGCTTCTCCTGCTCCATCATTTTCTCAGTGGCTCAGACAGATCTTCATTTACACCTGGTCTTTATCATCAGGTTCTACCCTTTCCAGTTCAGGCGTACTGTACTAAACTTGTGAGTACTGTTGGCCTTTTTGGTTTCTGGCTACTGTTCCCAGGTTGCAATACTGTCATTTTGGGTTCCTGTTTTCATGTTCCCCTAGTCTTGTCCCATCCTGGGTGGTTCTGATTTGTTAGATCAAACAATCTCAGGTCCTTCTATCCTCTTAGTACAGGTCATTGCATATCTTTCCATCCAGGGGGGCTCTGCAGGTGGTGTGGTAATTGTTGCTGTTTAAAAATGTCCACAATGTCCTTCAATGAAAAGAAGGGGGCAGGGGAGTTCTCGTTCTAGAGAACATCTATTTAACTTTTCTCCGCTCTGTCCAAGGCTAAAAAAAAACAAAACACTTTTGATATACTTTACATCCGTTTTGAATTACAGATTGTGACACTGCAGAATGGGGGGGAATCCTAAGGGTGGGGGGTTGTAGACATATGGAAAGCGCTATGGATTATTATGTAGGTTTAAACTTTTTCTAAGTCTGCCTCATGAGAACTCATAATATTTCAGGCTGTGATATCTACATGTCATGTAAAGCCTCAGATCAGTCATCTTGACTTCTTTTCCCCCTTCTGTCAATGAAAGTATCGTTCTGCTATAATACTCTGTAAAGATGATAGTCCCTATCAAACCTGTTGCTAGTAGTCACAGTTCAGAATGTGTGCCTTTCTATCTATACTGTCGTCCAAAAGATATGCATTTCCAGCCATTTGCAAGTCAAATGTGACCACTTTTAATGCTGGGAAATGAAATTCCATTTTCCTGTGGAGGGATAGCGCTTTGCTAGATTAAGGTATTCACACTCTCCAGCGGCAGGCACCCAGATCTACTTCATATTCATTTCTCGAGAGCGCCTACAATTTGTGGGATATCATCAGACTTTTGGGGGCAATTTCTTGTTCCGAGCGATTTCATTCCTTACCCATGGTTTTCTGCCAAAGATGATTGCAGCGCTCTATTTTTTATCTCGGGAAATCCACTTTAAGATTACTCGCTTGTGACAACATTACAGATAACATAGTATTTGAAGCCTGAGATAATTTAAAGGTTTAGCACTTGGCAGACTGTGTTTACAGAAATGTCTGTTTTCTTGTGCCTAGGACATTTTAACTAACCTTTTCATGCATGTTTATCGCCAGCAGAAGTTCATAATTGTGTTTGTGTATTTCATCACAGATAGTTTACTCCATGTGGTATGCATTAAGTACATTTTGTTGTTTTTTTCATTTGTTACTAAATGTGTACATTTGTGTGTGATATATATATTTTTTATTATTATTAAAAAAAAATGTTGATTTGTCTATCTGTTTTAGTATTAGTATAAAGTGTTCAGCCCAAACGTTTTCTTTTAGTCTAGATTCACATATTTGTGTATTTGCTTGATTGATTGAAGTCAATGGAAACACAACAAAACCCATTTTATTGCATGCGTTAAGATGCACATCATGGTGTGCCTCAATGTGTGCTGATGTCTATGTTGCCAATTAATACAATGCGAGTTTCAACACGCGTTCATGTGCTGAGACATTTCAATGCAAAATGCATCAGTGAGCAAACGCATAGGTGTAACTCCAGCCTAAGTTTCTGATACGGGGTGGAAAGCTTAGCTACTCTGTGTTATGTGAGAGGTTTACCTATACTTTTGGTCGCTGTTAAAACTGTTTAACCAAATAGAATCAGTTGACTAACATGTGGGGTTGTATGATAACAGAGGGAGAGCTGATTGGCTAAAACTTTGACAGTTACAAAATCTTGTTTACTGTTACTTGTTCTTACTAGTTATTAGCAGCTTCACCCAATTGTCTAATACCAGAAATAGGTCTATCACGGTTCCTTTCAGTGGCGCTGAGTCAGAATGGTGAGCGTGTGAATGCATATCAACCAAATGGCTATGGTGCTCAGACTGGGATTTGAACACAGGATAGTACTTCCTGTGTAATTCCCCCACAGAAGCCTAGATGGTTGCTCTTATCTTGAGTTCTATTGCAACTGTACAGTCTCCCTTTATTTTCTAAAGGTCTGCACATATTCTAAATAATGATAATTTTAGCAACAGAGTTAAGTTGGGCAAAACATTAGTTTATATGGGAAATAAAGGTATAGCTTTTTATATTGCTGATTTACCAAGCGTGCTAGGATCTAGTAACTGCCACTTCTTGACTCTTAACCCCCATGTAATGCCTAATCCTAAACCACTAACCTAAAACTTAGACTCCGCTGATTTCCAAGCCTTAACCCCAAACCTCAGCCAAAATGGCAAATAAGGACTAGCACCGACTGGGATGGCACTGCTTTATTGCTGTATATGCACTTGATGAGCAGTGCTAGATCTTCACTAATACAGGATTCAAATGTGGTTATCCTTATTCTGGGACCCACCATGTCAGTGTGCTTTTTTTTTTTTTTTAGTCCCTAAGCAATATCTATAACAGGTTAGAGGTGTGTAGTTTGTTTGCATCAAATATTTTTTATGTCTTGCAGGATGTAGAGAAAGCTCTGGAGTTGACATCGAAGGATGGCAGTCATTTCAATTTTGGCATGTATATGACAGTCCTGCAATTGTGCTGTGATCAGAACAGGCCAAAAGAAGCACTACAACTGAAAGAGGAAATGTAAGTAAATTATGAAATATCCTCGTATTTGGATTGGGCCATAGAGGATGCAATTACGAGGGAGAAAGGTCTAGGTAACCGAAACATGTCAGTTCCTTTTTATTTACCAGCTTTGTGCTTACCTTACCTTGCATTACTTAAAGGACTTGGCTAGCAGACTTAAAATGGTAGAATTGGTACATGGTAGAGATGGCAAAAGACCCCGCTCTGTCATTTTACGTGGCCTACCACTTCGTGGCTAAGTTACTGTTGTTCCCAGTTGCTTCCACTTTGTTATAATACCACTAACATTTGCCTGTGGAATATTTAGTAGCAAGGAAATTTCATGAAACAATGATTTGGAGGGGTGTCACAATACCTTTGCAATATAGTGTATATACACGCACGCATGCGTAGGAGTTAAAAGACACTTTCTGAAAAAGGACATAAGGCTTTGGACCAAAAATATGGTAGTCCATTAAGAGCCTGTGCAAAGCAAAAGTTAACTTCCACACCCCCCAGCTGCACATACTCTTATTCCCTTTTGCCTCTTGGCTTCTGTTTCCTGTCCAGCAGTAAAAAAAAAAAAAATAAAGCATATGGAGGTGCATGCAACTTGCTTCCTTTCCTCCCACCTCAAACCACTGGATTTTTTTTTCATTAGGTATTATTTTGTAATAGTTGTATGCTCTGCTTTGTATGTAAAGGTTTCTCCTGACAATCCAATAATGTATTGATAGGCTTATTTGCTTCCATCCAGACTGACCCTAGAGTGTGTCTCTGACATTTGTAAGGACATTGGATTTGTAATCTCCTTTGGGGCATGGATTAATGTTTTGTGTGTTCTGAAGCTCACCAACATTTGTTAGAGCAATATAAATAGTAACTTACTTTGTAATAGAGCCGTTATGTTATGCCAGTACATAGTACCCAAATCAGATTTCAGTTTAGTGTAGCGAGCTCAAATAAGAGGGATAGCAGAATATTTTTGTTTTTCTAAGCAAGTGCAACATTTTCTTGCTTAAATTGTCCCTGCTGGGACCTACCTATGTCAAAAAGGCTGTAAATACTTTAGTGCCACTTTAATAGTCCTGTAGCTGAGAAGTGAAAATGGCTCCAGAGTTCAACTGATTAAAATGAATTCTTTACATTGACCAATAGGGCACACATCGCAATGTCATTTGAATTAAAGGCAAACTATAATGGTTTGAGGTTATATATTTATATAAATAGAGAGACAGAGTGTTGTGAAATCAGTACTTTGGCATATAGGCCATATACAGTTAATCAAGCATTCCTCAAAATATACATTTATCATCATAAATTCATACAACTGTGCAGAAACAACAGATGACCCAAAAAGGCAGGAAAGGATAGTGGCAGGAAAGAGTAAGGTCTCAAAACCATATTTCTAAGTAACCCTCTTCCTTAGGAGAGACCTCAGTCTGGCTTCTGGAGTACAGTATCTAGACCCTGTTGGACTGGACATTGAAGGAATAGACTGAAATTGACCTTGGGTGTTGGGTTCCGCGTGGGGCACTTTCCAGACTCTGTTCTGGTTAAAGTTAATTGCAGAGCTAACACCCACTGTACATGATGTCTCAAGGTTACTTTCTGCCAACGACTCTGGGGCTGCTACCAGCATGCCTACTGATGGTGCCATCATCTGAAGCCTGGAACCATGTTGCCCTCTGCTCTTGCAGTTATTTCTGTCCTCTGCTCTTTAGGCTGAGATCTTTACCACAGTTATGCAAGTTTTTCACTGACTCTAATTACAGAGAACACAAGTGCTCTGCTGTGTCCTCTCCTGCAAATTCTTTATCTAATTTGCCCATGGCCATAGCTGATTCTGAGCCACTGAGACTCTGATTCTGAATTGCTCCAGCCCTTGACTGATGAGCTTAAGCTTGAGAAGTCAGGGTATTGCTATTCCATCCCAAAAAAGGGAACCGTTTCAGCTCTTATTGATGCAGTGCCAACTGGTTATAATTCCCAAACCTAAAGAGTTTGTTGCCCTGCCCTTCAGCCTCTTGTCTGCCCCTTGGGTATTCATCAAGGTGCTGGCCCCATAATTAGCCCTTCTGCACTCTTGTGGCATCCCCATTGTGGGATGCTTGAATACCCTCCTGCTAAAGGAAACAGTCGGCAGAGGCTCTGTTGAACAAACGTGTCTGACTTTCTAGGTGACTGTGATTCAGATCGATCCTGAACTTCAGAAATTAAAACTGAAACCTAAGCCTGATTGTAGCCTCCTTCAAGGCATTTCCATTTGCACAGTTTCACTGTAGACCTCTTCAGAGCTGTAATTACAATTCTGTAATGTGATTATCTTGTCTCTGGATTTGTTTGTCACTGACCAAATTGTCCCTGCCTTGGTGGCTCAGGAATCCGCTTTCATAGTTGGAAGTCTGTCTTTTTTAGTCCTTGTGATTAATGCCAGCACTTCAGGCTGCTGGGACTTGGTCATCAGAGAAGTAATGTCTTCTGATCAAGAACCTAGAATTTTGTCTGGTTTGGCTGTCCTGGGCAGAACGTCATGCTCCTGCCATGTCTGCTGTGTACATTTCAATTAATTCAATGAAATGGTGCCTTAATCCAGAGGTGTTCCGGGACAGAGACATTGTATGCTCTGGTGCCTCTATGGGATTAGTACACCTTGATCTATGCCTTTTACACTTCTGAAAAAGTTTCCTTGTGTGCTTCACAGGGTCAAGACTGAGGGCATTCTGGATATCTTCATTGCTCTAGACTGGTCCAGGCACATGTGGTATGCTGACTTGGGAAGACTCCTAGTACATACTGTGGCTCTGAGATGGTCTGGATATTCTGTTCCAAGGACCAATTTAGCCTCCTACTTCACAGTTGCTGGCGGCTTTTCAAACAGTTTTCTGAAGCACATAGGGCATGTCTGAATCTGATTCCTTTGATGCTAAAAACTAGGAAGTGTACCCCACTCCCACCGCCCCCAGGTCTATCCTCGCACATGGAAGACATGATTGTCACGGATTCCACCCCAGGAGTTTCTCCATGAGACTAATCCTCTTCGTTCGTGCAGCTGGGATTGAAGCAGTGTTTGGCTCTTAGCACTAAAGGTGCCCATACACCTTACAATTTATCTGCAGATTTTCTGTGGTCAGATGGAAAAAGTGCAACAGATTGGCCCAGGTGGAGATTACTCCATCCACACAGTTCAGTGTAGATGGAGGAATCTGTTGCACCTTTTCCATCTGACCACAGAATATCTGCAGATAAATTGTAAGGTGTGTGGCCAGCTTAAGGGTCAGGATTCTGCCTTTTCTATTCTGTTTGAGTGAGGCCTCTCAATCTTTGATTAAGACCTTTGTATTTGGGGTCTTCTGTGTAGCGTCCCTTGTCTCACCTCTCCTTTCTATTCCCCTGTGACTCAGTAGGATCTGAATGTGGTTCTCTCTGCACTTCAAATAAGTTTTACCACGTGGATGTTTCGGCCTCATCTGATGCCAGCTTTGGATGTAAGGTGACTCTTTGAGCTGCAGGCAGTCTCCAGTTTTATGTTATATCTTTGAGTGTAGCTGCTTTTGAATGTCCCAGTGGTTTAAAGCTTGCTGTGTCTCTCAATGAACGGCAGATAATAGGAGTTTTGTACTCGCTGTAAAATCCTTTTTTATTAAGTCCATTGAGTGAAACGGGTCCCACCCTTTTGTGTTTTCATGCTCTGTACTGCTTGCTGCAAAAACTGGCATGCTGGTAGGAGGGGGTTACCCTGGCCTACTGGTTGTTTTCTTTCTTTCTTAGTCGCTCTTGTACAATCCTCCTGTTGGCAGTAGGGATGCACCGGTACTGTTTTTTCGGTATCGAGTACCAATATTTTTCTTTTCGTTACTCGCCAATACTGATACCGGCGTCCGTGGGCCCAGATTAACAGGAAGTCGCCGCCCTGCTTCCTAATTACCTGTTCTATCGAAAAGAATATTATTTTCCATCGGTCTTCTATCCCAAGCCGGCTTCCTAGCCAATCGGGAAGCTGGGCAGCACGTCATGACCCGCCTCCCGGCTTCCTGATTGTCCAGGAAGCCAGCTCATAGCTCCCTAGTGACACTGCTGGTCAGAGGGAGATCTCCCTCTGACCGGAAGTTCTAGTATCGGTGCATTTGGGGAAGTACTCTGTATCGGCAACCGGTGCACACCTAGTAGGCGGCAGTATAACCTTTAGGTTTAAGGCTTCCTGTTTCCCCTATTAGACTCCAAGAAAAAAGGATTTTATGGGAAGTACAAAATCATATTTTAAATCTTTTTATGTACTGTTCATTTAAAATCTTTATTATACGTTTCAAGCAGGTGCACCCATGGCACTGGAGTTGCAAAGCATTATGGCTTTTCAAAAGAAAAAAAGCAAGTTCTGCAAAATCTGTTTGCCTTCAGGCTGCCCATTCATTCAGAAAATATTTTACTATCACCAGTTTCTGAATGGGGAGGAGCCTCTGTAGTGATTGCTTCTCCCCATTGAGAAACTCATGAATGAACAGGAAGTGATGTAAATCACATCCTGTTCAGTGTTTGTAAATAACTGGGGACACATAGTACTATGTGTCCCCAGTTATTTACAAACACTGGAGTGATCAGCTGATCGCTTCAGTATTTGTCCTGCACAGAGGATCGGAACATATCACTGATATGTACCGATCCTCTGCTGCTCGGCCACGCACAGGGGGGCTCAGCTTCTTCTCTGGATCTGCGCTGCTCTCCCAGGCAGAGGCAGCGGCGGATCCGAGGAGAAGTGAAAGAAGCGCTGCAACCGCGACGGCGGGGCGGAGCTGCTGTCAAAGTAGTAAGGCCGAGCGCTGAGGGGAGAGGGCTTCTGTCTCTCCTCACCGCTCGGCCTTAGTTCTGTGACAGCGGCTCCCTCCTCCGCCGCGAGCTGCAGTGCTTCCTTCACTTCTCGAATCCCCGCTGCACAGATGGGGAGAGCAGCGGGGATCCAGAGAAGCACCACGGACGGGACGAGAGGCCATTGCGATCTACCACTGATCGCTACGCAATCGACTGGTAGATCGCGATCGACCTTATGGGCACCCCTGTCCTAAGCTCATACATAGAACTTGAACTCTAGGCAAAATATCACCTGCTATCTTGCTCACAGAAGCAGTGTGGATGACTCACTTCATTAGAAATTGTAAAGAGATTATTGCTGTGGTAGACATATGCAGTAAGATAAGGGATCCAATAACGCAGGATACAGAGCCAGGATATGTACTCCACATGAGGACCCCGTGTTTGTAGATACAAATTATAGACAGAAGGAAGGTTTTTAATACAGTACCACTCATATCATTGCTTATGTTAAAGTCCAGGCAGGTATAAAAGGCACAAATTATTGCAGCTGTAATCATTAAGTTGTTACATGTTTTTTTGTTTTTTTAAATGTAAGTAGTTGAATTTGGCTTGGTTGGATCATTTTGCAGTCTCCAGTACAGCAAAGCTCAGAGAAGTGAGGAAAAAGCAGCACAGGAAACCAGTCAGATGTGCAGCAGCATGTGGAACATGCTGTAAAGTGGAGAGGTCAAAGTGGTCACTAAATGGCGTATAGTGGTGTGGACATGGACCGAGTGGCGGTTCTGTCCCCACTGCAATCACCTACCTGCACTGGGTTATGGTTGGCTGACAGAGGATACACCAGCCTCCGAGGCCAGTATTTCCACTGCCAGCCATAACGCAGTACAGGTTCCCCCTCTGCTGTAGTCATTGGTTTCTAAGAGCGCTGGCTTCCTAGCAACCAATGACTTCAGACAGTCATGGCCAGCTCCTCAACTACAAGTGATCTGGGCAGCTGTACAGCCACACAGATCATTTGTACAAGGCTGTAATTGTGAGGCTTCCCTTCCCCCATTTATCCTTCCACCATGGTCTTCAGTACCCGCTCCTCTGGGGAGCCTGGGACCATGGCACACAATGTCAGGATGGAGAGTGGGAGCAGAATGGCAACATCCATTCCCCATTCTGCTCTTTGATCACTTAAGCATGAAGTGCTTTTCTCGACGCTTCCTGCATCAGATCTGTCAGAAGCTGGCTGAAGTGCAGGGTAAACAGACGGTGAAGCACATTCCTGTGCTTCATCATCTGTGTTTGGAGGTACAGGGGAGGTGTCAGGAATCTAAGACCTCTGATGGGTCCATAAAGAAAACCTGTCGCCTCCAAATGCTGTCACATAAGGGCTTGTTAGCCCCTTTGTGATAAGAAAAGTTAAGTGAAAAAAAATATTGAAAAGTAAAAAATTTTTATATAAAAATAAAGGTGATAAGAAACAAAATTAAACCACCACAGCCACCCCCGCCATCCGATTTGAAAGAACACATGCCCATAAGACATGCGCATGAATACACACCCAGTGCCTTGTTCAGCACTGTGCCTGGGAACGCACGGCAGCAGCTGTGCACTGCAGTGCAGCTGCTGGTTTGAATGCAGCCTAAATGGCGGACCGCAGTACAGACGCGGACTGCAGTACAGACATGGACTGAGTGACCGTTATGTCTGGACTGCGATTCAGACCTCGGCTCAATGGCACATTTTACTTACCGGACCTCCTTGTATTTTAATTTACTACCCCTGTGATAGAGGAATTAGTTTATCTGTGTTTTTGCTTCTTCTTTCACTGTTTAGTCACAGTGTGCGGTTGGTATGAGGCCTGTAAGTGAAAGGTGGATCTACAGCAGAGATAGATTGGGTCTCCTCCGCTACCAGACAGGGCTGTTCTAGGTGGCAGAACTGTGTAAATCTTAACTGGATAGACAGAAATACAAATCCTTTGGCAGGTAAAAGAGCTCTCTTATATGTAGTTCGTGTATTCAGCAGTTTGCCAGGAGTTCAGCTATAAACTGGTTTATTTGTATCTGTATATGTTTGATTTGTATCTATTACTGCTTTTTAAAAAAAAGCAATATATTTCATTGTTTTAAAATATTGTTTCTTTTCTCACCCAGAGGCCAAAGAGGTTTTACTCAACATCCTTCAGTATCCAAGTACCTGAGCCTTGTTAAGGTGCTGGCATTGAATGGTTTTGTAGAAGGTAGGCTCCGTGTCTTTAACATGCATTATTTTCATTCAGGAAAAATCTCTCCACCACAGTGAAAAACGGACTTGTTATTAATGGTATATCATGCCCTGGAAAGTGCCTGGACATTTTGCATATAAATTTGCATGTGAATTCACCCACAGCCTCATGGACGGTGCAGGCCATTAGTTTTAATGGCTTGGCAGGCTTGTCATTTACATTTGCACAGCTCAGTGCATTTTGCATTTCTGTTGCTTTTTTTTTATTTTTTTTATTAGCATTGCTGGATTGAGTTTGAAGATCATGACTTATGGCACAAATTGCGTATGTGCCCACACTAATGGCTTTGTTTGTGCTTAAGGAGGTTTGATGGCTGAGCGTAAACCTAAAACGTTAACCTCTGTGGAAAGGAACCGGCAGAGCTCCTAAAGTGATAGGGAGATGTTTCTCTCCTCCGCATTAAAACGTTCTTACCTTGGTTTACCCATCTCTTGTAAATTTAGTTAAAGGTAGGGAAAAAATCTGCAGGATAAAGCAAGTTTGGTTAGTGCTGTATAATTTGATGTTTTTGTCATTTTATCTGCATTTGGGGTTGTAGTTCTTGTCCGGCCATTTATAAAAATTGGGAATTAGTCTCACTCAGTAGACAACACAGTACTTGCTAAGTGGGTGTAATGTTCCTGGCATCCATCTTCAGCACCTGGCTGTTTGCTAGCTAAATCCTTGTAGTTGCCAATAACTTAGTAAGAATTATTTTTTTTAGCTATCTTCTATTTTTATTTTTTTTTGCCTTTTGAACAATTAAAATAAAAAAAGACATACATAAATGTTAATGCTAGATGTTCATAGCATTAACATTTCTTACAGCCCCCCACAACCTAATTTTATTATCTGTTAATCCTGCCAGTGTATCTGTTTTTTTTTTTTGTTTTTGTTTTTTCACTTCCTTTAACAGGGTGTTTTTTTTGTTTTGGTTTTTTTTGTTGTTGTGGTGAAAGCACATGGCAGCTATAGGCAGGGTCTTAGGTGGACTTTTGGCTTTATGTGGACTTTATATAAGTGATACAAATTAAAGTTAATTTCCAGCTAACACTTGTTAAAGGAGAACTATGAGGAGTGCTTTTCAGGGAGGACGCTAGTTTGTGTCCTCCCGTTACCCTAAGGAGAACTATGGGGAAAAGCCTTAACCCCATAGTTCTCCTTTTAAGCAGCTACAGCAACCATTTTTTTTCCTTTTGAAAAAAGGTTCAAAGTGGACCTGAACTTAAAAAGTGAAAATTTGCTGTGTTGTAAGGAACTTGTTTTTGCTAATTGTGCTTAGAAAGCATCCTGAGAAATGTACTGTTTGTCTGCTGAATTCCTCCTGAAAATAGCAGTTCACTTTATGGTATGTGTGCCTAGGACCTCCTATAAAAATTAAAACAGCTGTTAATGCTATTGACAGACTGCATCACATTTGTTATTTTTTTAAAATATGGCCCATTATTCCACTTTTAAAAACCTTTTTTTTTATTATTGTAATATTTTTGTTTACAAAAAGCATTAAAGGGTATTTCCACTTTTGCAGACAAATTTGAGACACCCAACTATATGTTTATGTATTTCTGTTCCCACAGCATACCTAATTTTTTATAAAAATATTCCTTTTACATGATATTTTTTTTAAATCGTTTGTTTATAACCACAAAGGTTCATACAACAATCTGACAGATTCAGTCAGTAAACATTACATTTCTTACCTTTTTAGATGTCTGTGTAGCAGGCCTTTGGATCTTCTCTGTGCACTTTGCAAGTGACAGGAAACTCTGGCTGTCCCCATAGGAAGACTAGGCACACACAGAGCTGCCTCTCATTGACATGCAAAGCGTCCAGATCTTTAACTCTTTGTTAGGGTAGGCATTCAAATCTAGTTTGACTGATAATAGGATCTGCCAGCACAGCACAGACAGGGTTAATTAGGTTAAAGAATAAAGTTGGGTATACACGGTTAGAATTTCATTACAAAAAAAATGTTTTTAGAACGTTCTGACCATTAAAGAAGTCTTCCCACCTTATATTATTTTTCCACAGCTCAGTCACCTAACTCCCACAGTATATGTTTCTTTTTATCCCATGCTTCTGTGTGCAGTGGAAACTTGGATACAGACAGCTCAATCCTCCTTCATTCTTGACCATGCTTTGCAAAGGAGGCTGACTCTTGATGGACAGCCCTTATCTCGCTGTCTTTGCACTTTACAGACACAAGCGAGGTCAATGGAGTGCAGAGGGAGGGGATGCACTCTCACAGGAATCAGCACAGTTACTAGAACTGGAAGGGGAGCCTTGTTTTGTATTGGGAAAGTGCAGAGGCAATAAATCGAGAGGCCACCTCCTTTGCTGAGTGTGGTCCGGAATGAAGATGAGTGAGCTGTCAAAGCCTGTATCTCAGTTTCTAGATCACACAGAAGCATGGAATAAAAATCAATATACATTGTGGGAGTTAGGCGACTGAGCTGTAAAAAATAATACAAGGTGGAAAGACTTCTTTAATTGGGTCAAAACAATGATCAGTTTCGACCGTAGCACCTACAAAAAGCGAATGGAATTTCTCTGACTAATGACAGTTAAGGTGGTTTTCGTTTGGGGAAACTCCATTCATTCCAAACATCAAACTAAATTTTGAACGGCCAATGTCAAGACTGATAGCATTATCGAATGTTCTGACAAGATTTTTCGTATCAACGTCCATAGGAAATTGTAACTGTGTGTACACAGCTTAACTCCCCTCCCCCTTGTGTTCCTTATTTTGGAAAAGAACAAGTAATGTGTAAGTAGTCATTTTTAAACTTTTTTCTGCTGTGTGAAAGAAAACATGTAACATACATAAAATAGGTGTTATCCCATGGGGCTGCGAAAGTGGAAATTAACTTTAAATATGGAGACACTCAATTAGCAGATGACTGGACTTTTGAATAAGAATGCCGAGCACTGTCTGCATTTTTATTGGCAGGATTTATGAGCTGTGTTGTCTGATCTCTCCAGAAATTATCAGAGAACTGGATTGCTTATTCTCTTGTTTGAAGTGCTTTCACCTGTTGGCTGTAAGTGGTAACCATTATACAATACTCATTTAACACAATGCAAGTATTATTCATATTTTTTTTTAGTGCTACACATAATTAATCAGACTTATTTGACTCTGTAAAATATGTTCAGATGTCCATTTTAGACTAGGCTTACCTACACAAAGGAGTGTGAGAGGCAGGTTGTCAAGAGTGGTGTGTTTAAAAAGCTGCAATGCAGTCCTATCCTTCGGTGATGTCAGACTCGCATTCCCTATTCTGTCTCAGTTTGTATGGGGCCTGTGGTAGAGTTTACACAGGTTCTATATACATTTGAATCGGGGATAATTCTTGTACCGACCTGAAGACAGACAGTGTGCTCATAGGTAATAAGCACTCACTTGGTTTAAACCCTGGCCCCTTCCTCTCTGCAAATTTGTACATCCAGGCTATAGGAATAAAGTAATCTGCTCTAAAAGATGACCAGATATGCCTGCATCTTGCAGAATATATTATTTTACCATCCCAATATGATATGTACTAAGCTATTAAAGGTAAAAGCTCCAGAGTTGACATGGTCATCATCCTTGCTCCAGAACCTAGCAAGGTAGAACAGCATACAGCCATTTAAGGCCGGTTTCCTGACCTGTCTGCTTGTTTCGGATCATTGACTTTGAGAGAAGTGAAACAAGGATAAGCCATTTTTATTCCTGGCCTTGCAGATTCACTAGGAAGCACACTCATTAGCGACTGGTTGTTCCTATACCAAGCACTGCATTCAAGAGTGGTAGGTGAGGTGTTGGCTGCTCCCTTATACCTAGAAGCATCGAGGTTCTTACAGATCAGCTATAAAAGGAAGTTTAGTCATAGCAGGGTGCTGAGGGCAGATTTCGGATGGGCTGCCAGTTTTTTTGTTTTTTTTAACAGTTTGTTTTAAATTGAGTTATACTCATTCATTCTCCAAGCCTTGGCATATTTTGAACCCTGAGTAAATATTTGACTTTCAGATACTTTTTTGTTTCTTTTTACATGGATTGATTTTTTTTTCTGTTTTTGGCT